AATGTAAGAAAAAAATTAAAATTTTAGGGAATGCTGTTTAGGTGTTTAGAGGTAATTTCAGGAATATACAACTATATCCCTGATGACTCCAATGAAATTACCATTAACCTATGCCAAGCATCCAAACACGAGTGTTCCCACAAACACACACACATGCACTGTCATGCAGTGTATGAAGCAAAATATCCAATTTAACAAAAAAAGTTGAAGTCTGCTTGAGGGGGTTCTGGAAACAAACAATACACTGTATGCGCATGACGATCAAGTGTTTAAAGGGTAAATAAGCTCAATATTCATGACTTTTTTCATCCATTGTCTATTTCGAAGCCATTGGGGTATTATTAAATTCATGACACAACTATAATACATATGACCACATGTTCACATCAATTTTCAAAGGAGTAGGGTACAGAATTGCAATATAACAACATATAAGTAAATTATACATGTCATGAACTTACCAGTTTGTGTTGAGTTAAATTTTAAAATTTTTATGACATCAAATATTTATTTATTTGCAAATCAAAACATTTTAAAATTCTCGTGTTTTGTTTTGTATTGCGCCCGCGATATATTAATGGTATTAACCGCTGTGAATATGATATACATTTTTAATACATTACATTTGCGCTCAAAAGCTCTTAAGTTCAGGAAGTGAGTTTCTAGAAAGGATGAAAACTCCGTTTTATATGTGGTATGTAAAAGGTAATCGTTGTTTACTGTTTACTGTTTATTTTGTATTCAGGTATGGGGAATTTAAGCGATGAGAGTTGCAAAACTTGCAAATGTAGTCTGACTAGTTTCTTTGACGTCATCATGCAACTATTTAATATTGTGCTACATTCATTATTCAATTTATTCGCAGCAATTAGCCTTCTATAAGTCATACAAATAATTATAGCTTATAGCCCACCTTGTCTTTAACATTGATCCTATATATAATGAATTAACATAACTAACTTGATTATGTTGCTAGTCGAGTATGGGACCTATGGGTCTTCTAGATCCTAGAGTAGCACAATTAATATAAAGTCTCCGTAAGGCGGTAATATTAAAGACTGTTCTTATTTATGCATGACCTTTGACTATTAAGTGGCCAAAAATTGTGCCTACAGTAGTCAACTTATTCCACTATCCAGGTTGCATCACATTTGATTGCAAAACATCCGGGTTTATTATACATGGATTTGCTAGCAAAATAGCAGCAATTGATGAACTTGGTGTTATACTAAGATTTACTAAATGTGTAAAGAAACAACGAAAAGTATATATCAATCAGAGTCATTATCTTGATCAATTTCCGATGGGATCTCCAAAGAAAGTAGCTACATGTGCAGACAACATGAAACTTCAGACTGCAGAAAATTTCACAATCCGTTATCAAACTTATGTCACAGAAGTGGTAAAGGACATATGTGACAACTGAATGGTACCTTTTGTAAATTTTTTGGCCAGGGGTGGGTATTTATTTTTTAATTGATATTTGAGGTTGGGTAATCATTTTTTTAAACTTTTTAATGGTTGGGTCAGCAAAATTTTTGCTACGAAAAACATTTCTCTTCGGTGCCACCCCCCGCCATAAATAATGACCGGTCCCTAATTAAAAACTAAAATACTCAAAAGTATGGCATATTAAAAATATATTTCGCTGATTCGCAGCCTCTGTAGTTTGACGCCATATTGAAAAATAAGTTAGTTATTTTTCCCTTCAACTCTTTCCTTGCTATACGGCGAACAAAATTGCAGTCGAGAAATGATTGAAATAATATTGTATTTATTTTAAAAAACCTACTTGAACCATTCACCATCGATCATTAATTTATTCTCTCGAAGTTCTGTATTATAAAATATTTTATTTAATAGGCTATACTATCACTCTATACACACATAGCTACACATGACGTTTCACCGAGTATAGATGATCGCCGACTATATTCGTGCCCGCGTTCCTTACTTGTCAGCAAGAATTGGATAGATCTAATAACAAATTCCGATGACGAGCCAGACAGCTCTAGATTGGCGAATCTGGAGCCAGCTCCAGATACAATTTCAATATGGAGCTGGAACGACTAGTTTGTAAACAAACTGCTTTGGCCGCTTAACTACCGATGGATATTCAATTTTTTTGAAAGACCATTTTTGCTCGTCATATTCCTTAGTACGTGATGGAAAATGAAAACATTATTCCGTTCCGTTCGTCCATGGTAGCTTCTGAAAGATCACTATTTTTTCTGATAAAGGGAATGGTCAGCGGTCGGATAGATCGCAAAGCTCGTTTAAAACCTTATTTTGTTACCTTTATAATGAAAAACTTAAAAATTTGATCGATGACCATTCTGGAGAATGTATTCAAAAGTAGTTCCATGCGGTCAACTTATTTCTACGTCGCGAAACCGCGATAAATAACTCGCGCAAAGTTGAACTGTCTAATTTCGCGCACGGCCCGGCTGTGTTGCTTTTATCCTTCCGTGAATACAACAACTTTGGTATCCGTAGATTTACGCTTTCCAGGAGTAAGGAATTGATATGTTGATGACATAATATCATTTGTTGCGCCTTGCTTTAGAACTAACGATATTAACAATGTTTAATATCCGAAAAACACAATGCAAACAAGATCGTTAAAAATAGTGTTATTATGCGGCTCAAGTCGTCGAAAGGCCATAACATGTCAAATACGTCTAGCATGGTCTAAATTGCTTCGCAAAGTTCTTGCTAATTTCGCCCTGCCACCAATTTCTAAAAGATGACCCTTCTAGAGTAATATTCATACTATCACATTTTATAGCATTTGAAGCTTTAGGATACATATCCACCATGAGCAACTCATGAAAACACTAGCATTCGTTACCGAGATGAGAAATTAACTTTCAAGAGATGTGAAATATTAAACGTAAACAATAAACACGTCATCAGCTGGCACGTGCCGGACATCTGATAATCTCAGGCGAAAACCGTATTAACTATAATGTCGGCATGCAAATGCAATATGAGGACATGGCAAGGCATTTAAGAGTGCCGAGGAATAGGAACAAGGCAATTTTCCTTGTTTAGGTATACGCTGTATTTTTTCAATACATGAGAAAACACGACGCTTTTTGACAAAGATAAAGTATTTTTAAAGCATGCCGCATCAGTCTGCATGCGTAGGTTTGAATTTGCGATTGCGCTGATTATGTTAATAAGGAAGGCTGAAAACACACCCCTCCTATTAATTAACTTATACGGGCAAAAACGATGTTTTCAGCTTCTGTGTTGAAAAAAGAATACAGCGTGTATAAACCTATGCATGACATTATAGTTAATACGGTTTTCCCCTGAGCTTATTAAATGTCTTGCACGTGCCAGATAACACGGAATATTGTTTAGGTGTAATATTTCACATCTCTTGAAAGTCGCTTTCTCATCTCGGTAACGAATGCTAGTGTTTTCATGAGTTGCTTATGGTGGATATGCATCCAAAAGTTTCAAATGCTGTAAAATATGATAGTATGAATATTAGTCTAGAAGGGTCATCTTTTAGAAATTCGTGGCAGGGCGAAATTAGCAAGAAATTTGCGAAGCAATTTAATTAGACGATGCTAGACGTATTTGACATGTTATAGCCGTTCGACGACTTGAGCCGCATAATAACACCATTTTTAGCGACTCGTTTGCGTTGTGTTTTTCGGATATTAAACATTGTTAATATCGTTAGTTCTAAAGAAAAGCGCAACAAATGATATTATGTCATCAACATATCAATTCCTTACTCCTCGAAAGCGTAAATGTACGGATACCAAAGTTGTTGTATTCACGGAAGGATAAAAGTAACACAGCCGGGCCGTGCGCGAAATTAGACAGTTCAACTTTGCGCGAGTTATTTATCGCGGTTTCGCGACGTAGAAATAAGTTGACCGCATGGAATTACTTTTGAATACATTCTCCAGAATGGTCATCGATCAAATTGTTAAGTTTTTCATTATAAAGGTAACAAAAATAAGGTTTTAAACGAGCTTTGCGATCTATCCGACCGCTGACCATTCCCTTTATCAGAAAAAATAGTGATCTTTCAGAAGCTACCATGGACGAACGGAACGGAATAATGTTTTCATTTTCCATCACGTACTAAGGAATATGACGAGCAAAAATGGTCTTTCAAAAAAATTGAATATCCATCGGTAGTTAAGCGGCCAAAGCAGTTTGTTTACAAACTAGTCGTTCCAGCTCCATATTGAAATTGTATCTGGAGCTGGCTCCAGATTCGCCAATCTGGAGCTGCCAATATGGAGCTGTCTGGCTTGTCATCAAATTCCGACTTCCGAGCTACAACCTTAATTGAAATAGCTGTATGTGGTCGAATTGCAATGTAAAGTGATAAAGAAAGAATAAGGGCAAAGAGAAAAACACTCTGCATTGATTCTTACAGGCATGCTTCAGGAAATATACTTTCAAAAATGACAGAACTCTGGCTAGGGCCCCTGTGCAACTATAACACTAAATCATATCATGTTGCATGTTTATTTTGCTGATTTTTGTTCTTCTATAGACTATAAGTGTTACATTGTGAGAATCGGAATCAGGCCTGCTGTTTTCCCGCCATTTTTACAATAAGTTTTCTGTCCCACTATACATTGCGGTCGGGTCAAGGTACATGCTAGAAGGTCAGAAGCTCAAAAGGAACGTTGAATCCTAATCAAGATTCAGATTGAATCCGAAAAATTAATATTTTACACCATTACCTGAATGACGTCATTGGCAGCTTTCATGAGATAACACAGCATACATAAGCCGATTTGAAATGCCGAGCCGTAATCTTCCTGATTTTGTTGATGTATATATGTCAAAAAAATTCCCACGAATTTATACACAGTCTGGCTTAAAGTTGGATATTATTATAGTATTAAAGATTTTGATATATATGAAATTGTTCACTCGATGGGTAATATGGCAGGATGATAATGATATATCCTCGAGAGGATGCGTCCAAACCACGCAAGCAAAAAGTTCTGCCTGGTGTGTCCGCGTTTCCGAACCCGCAACCTTCGAAATACTGTTAGAATACCCTGTTAAAAACAAAATGTATATAATATTGCAGCTTATGAACAAGAAACTGCTAATTAATTTGTTTCCTAATATAACGTTACTTAAATTCACCTGATGAGTGTGACAACTTCCCTTGTCATAGGAAACAAAAATTTGAGGGAGTGAAATAAAGTTCTTATGAAATATTTTATATATATAGGGTATATAATGTAATTATGTGTAACTATATCATTGCTTGAACAAGTCAGCTTTTCAAAGAAACTTGTCGAGGGATTATAATTAACTCTTTTGTCTGTACGTATAGCCTCCCAGTCTGTATGGGACAGACTGTAGGGGCGTTACTTGCTGTAAAAAAGCCATTCAGGAATTCTAGTAATTCGCGTGCGTCATCGTTACATGCATAATGTCGGAACGTTTGAACTAGCCTTATATATAATCGTTTAAAGCTATTGACCCTGTGACCTCGACTCTTAAAAGATTAACAGCATGTAGTCTGTATTGAACAAGTTAGCGCGCCAATATAACAGACGAAGTCTTTGTGTAATTACAGGGAGGAGCTGAGAGAATTGCATAAGAGTTTGTGCGTTGTACACCCACGCAAAAATATAAATACGTCAAACTATTGCGACACAATGCTGCCAATGAAATTTGAGTTATACTCAGAATTATAGTACTCTATATATCTTCATAATCATAACTGCCGCGGCAGGCCAGGTTTTCTGGAAATTATTATATATCTCCGGGTTCATTATGATATATATCCGGGTTCAAAAACCCAACCGCGGCAGGCCAAGGTTTCTGCTTGCGCGCTGGCTGGAAATTATGATATATTGTATATCGCTCCTAATTGTATATGTCTTTAAGCTTTATAGCCCTTATGTGCACGCGCACTGCATTTCACAGTTTAAAAACGACGATAAAGCACGTAAGCAAAGACATTATAGCCGCCATTCAAAAGAAAGCTCAAACAACGGCACCGGTATAGCCTGCGTTACCGCGTAGTAGGCCGACTACGAGCATGTGGACAGCTTTCCCCCCTTTTGGGGGCTCATCAGCACAGTGTTAATGGCAGTGAAACCGATGATGAGCTTCCACATCCGAGGATGTATATCATATATAAATATATATAACTAAAGATGTATATGTTAATGATTAACCTATCTTCGTGCAGGACGCATATTTCTATAAGTATCTCTCCTTGACCCAGCCAACTACACTGACACCGACAAGTGCACGTCAAGTGATTTAATAACTTACATTTCACCAAACGTAATTTAATTCGCCTCGCCTTTACTCGTGACGAAATAGACTTAATAAACCCGGGATCAAACGAGGATGGCAGTTGGCATGCAGTCACGCGACCTTGGTTATAGTGTTTTTAAAGCTTTCCCAACACTACATATGTAATATATTTAAGTTAAAACATAGTTGGAACACCGGCCCTAAACCTTAATTTTGTTGAAATGTCCACTGCAACAATTTGTGACTGCCATGCAACTCTCAATAACTCTCATTTTTGTTTGACCCGAGGTATAGTTTATTAATGAAATTCACCCATTTTCAAAATTACTCGAGCAGCCTGAGTAACGTGAAGAGCAGATGTAAATAAAGGAAATTTCGAACCATTTCTAATAACCGAAAGAACAATATTGGCAGAAATCTGGTCATGAATGAGTTCGAAAAGTATACTGTATACTTAAATGTGGGTCATGCAAGCCTACTCGCAATACAATAGGACAATAGTCTCAATATATAGAGGCATTTGCGAAAATATTAAAGCCGTGGCCTAAATTTTCCGTGGTATGAAATTTTCAAAATTGTATAACAATCACTATACTAAAACGTCACCGAGAGAATCATTCCAAATGCTTTATGTAAGGGGAACAAAGCTAAAACATTCATAACCAAACACCGACAACAAAATGCTAATATTATTAGCACTGATAAAGATCGGAGCTTACGGATCGAAAGCTTTGCAGTAATAAATTTACGTGGTGTTTCCACAAACAAAAAGTATTATATATTCATCGCCAGGCAAACCTCAAAGTCAAAGAACTTAAATGATGTTCTGAATTGCCATTTTCGGCTCCAAGACTGATATGATACTAAATCAGTGCACTATTGATTATGTATTACTAGGCTTATAGTCGCGTAACTTGGAAAACGGGTGTAAAATTAACCAATTGATTACAGAATTTATATTGTATAGCCTAAAGATCCAGTAAGTACTATCTTGCGATAGATGAACCAGGCGGAAATCGTAATGACATACAAAGCGGAAAACACAGAAATATGAATAAATTACAACTAGTTACAAGATATTATATTACAAAAGTAGAAAGAGGAATGGATCAGAGTAGAAGTAGAGGGACCGAACTGCCTTGTAAGTAGAGAGAGGTTTGAGTTAATGAGAAGACTTTCTCGAATGAGGAGTTCGTTTCGAGAAGAGCAACAAGAAATAATCGTACAAAATCATTAGAGAGGCGGAATGACCCGTGCTATCACGGATGGGAAAGGATACTAGACATGGTCGGATTGCTGCTTTTACTGCCTGTTAGAGGAGAATCAGGAGAAACACCCAAGTGTTCAGATTACTTTAGAATTTTACAGTTCAGATTACTTTACAAAGTTACTTTACATTTGTCTCAACTCTTCACCTTTAAGGACAAAATTCCTAACGCTTTAGATCTTGTGTTTTATATTCCTTCACGTGTCGTTGCTGTTCCGCAACGTATTTGGGCGAAACGGTCCGTCACTTGCACACACGAGTATCTGAACATTTGGGTGTTTCTCCTCTAACAGACAGTAAAAGCAGCAATTAATCCGACCATGTCTAGTATCCTTTCCCTGCATCTTGATAGCACGGGTCACTCCGCCTCTCTTAATGATTTTAAGATTATTTCTTGTTGCTCTTCTCCAGACGAACTCCTCATTCGAGAAAGTCTTCTCATTAACAAAAGCAAACCCTGTCTCAACTTACAAGGCAGTTGGGTCCTTCTACTTCTACTCGGATCCATTTCTCTTATTCTACTTTTGTAATATAATATCTTGTAAATAGTTGTAATGATAACGTTCAAATGTTTCTGCATGTTTCTATCATTATAAATGTTTTGGCTATTTCATTATAAAATTGATATCGTAACCAGCAAATCCAGTACAGTGTAAATTAACAGGGCCTGAGTCATCAAATCATTAGCGTATAATTAATATAGCGTATTATAATGATGGGAAGTACAATATTAATGAGTACATGCAAATGTCATACTCGATCATAACTGTCCGCAGAATTCAAACTCCTGTCGTATATATAGTGTATAGGCTGAATGCAACGTCGCAACATGCGCCATTACCACTAAGTGTAATTTTGCCATTGTATATACTTGAAGTTAATAAATCTGTTGTACAACTCTGTTGCTGATGAATCTATATCAACACCTAACAGATACAGTAAGCCGCAGTATACATCCTAATACACCAATAAGTACTGTGTCACAGACAAATTGTATTGATTGATTGATGTTAAATGCAACAACATTTAATCCATATGTTGTGTCAAATTGTATTGCTTGATTGTATTGATTGGGGATAAATGCAACATTTAATCGGTATGATGTGTCAAATTGTATTGACTGATTGATTTATTGGGGCCCGCGTTAAAAGCAACAACATTCAAACGACCAATACCATTTTCAGACTTCCTCTTGCAGTTTTATGTTAATATGTGTACAAAATGTACATAAATATTCCATATTGTGTGCTTGGTGCACGAAATGTTAAGGCTAGTTTCCACTCAGGAAAATTATCCGTGAATTGGAACGGACAAGAAAATTTTTCTTTGTCTTGTGAGCTCTGGGTTGGAACTAATGACTTTAACACAAAGAAAAATGTTCTTGTCCGTTCCAATCCACGGATAATTTCCAGAGTGGAAACTAACTTTTACAATACTCAATATCATATATACTAATATAGAGCAGATCATAGCTTTCGGTTATCTCAACGTTGCCAATACAGCCTATTGCATCCAATAAAAGGGTGAAACGAATGAGCCATCTGAAGATTCCTTTATTGAATAAGAATCAGGGACTTGAGGCGAAAATCAGGGACTTGAGCGAAAGTTAAATATTTCATATATTATATTTATATATACTCGATAATCGAGAGTTTTGGCAAATACACGTGTTTAGTTCCCCGCACATATATAAACATGAAAATAATTCTATTACAAGTATTTCAAGTATACTTTGTCCTATGAAGGTCAAAACTCACAACGCCAAATCTCTTCAGTTTTTATTAATCAGCTTTTGGTTGTTCCGCCGTGAGCCATTTTGCAAACAACTCCATGCTCCGAATGGCCCCATATTATGCACGCACATATTGTGATTTTCCCGCTTTTCAGAAGACTGCAAGGTTATAAAGTCGCGATTTAGTGAATTTGAAAGGACCGGCAATCCGTGAAAATCGCATAAAGAGCTTTGGTATAGTACATGCAGATATAGTATGAAAACTTCACAGGGATAAATCAGTATATAATAACCCAGGGTTATTATATATACTGATTTATCCCTGTGGAGTTTTCATACTATCTGGACTAGCTATATATATATATATATATATATATATATATATATATATATATATATATATATATATATATATATATATATATATATATATATATATATATATATAGCTTAAAGCTCTTTTAATTCAAACCAGTGAAATTACTAAAATAACTAATTTTCACTGTGCCAACCTATTTCTATATATATAAATTAAGCAATCTCAAAAGTTGACTATATAAATTTAAATTTTTCAGTAGTTTAATTAATTGCTATAGCGATTGGCTCGTTTATAAGTCTTAAAAGGCCGAGCAGACTGCAGACGAGCGCCTTACGGATTACAAAAATTCAATCGTTTGTGTTAAGAGAGCGTATATCTAATCAACTCAACAAACAATTTCGTATAACTTACCGATATTTCAGTATAGCGATGCTAATAATCCAGAGTCAGAGACTTGTATATCAGTATATGACGTACAGTATAAGATAACCAGTTGAGTATATAGTAAATGCACGGTAATAATATCCAACTTTTCCCAATGTAAAATATTCAAGCAGGTAATTCAAAGCACCAAGATAATCAATGACAATCAGTCAATATTTCATCCTCTGTGGATGAACATGCGACTCCATCGCTCGCCTATATAGCTAGAGCGTGTACGAAGGCGTACATCACATGGTGGTTTTGAATTTACTGTCAGTGTAGCTATATCCTGTCGAAATTTCAACATAGGATCAAAATAATATTATAGGTTGGGCACTTTTCGGCAATTGATAAAGGAATTGATAATAGTTTTAGGCGGAATGACTGCGCGATTTAGCGAAATTATTATACACGTTGTACAAACGCTTCCCCTTTCTCGCAATATATTACGAACTTCCGAATCGGACTGGATTTCGATTTGGATTCACGGTGGAGGTAATTGAATCTGCATGCTCCCATTGATTCGATGCACATGGAGGAATTTAAACTACTGGCCTCATTAGAATTTCATAATTTGACCTCAATCTGCCTTTGTGTTGTGTTCTCGTGGGATTGCTTGAAATCGACTGGTATAAAGCCCGAATCAAACATATGAGAGTGCATGCATGTGATTTGGCGGGCACGCGACCTTGAATCCTTGATTAGCTGCTGTTAGGTTAATTAAAACATAGTTGGGATACTCATCCAACCTTTATTCTGTTAATATACTGTACAGGTGTATAAAAGAGGCCTTTAGAAATCAAGCATATTGTTAAAATTTGAATGCCTTTTCAATTGCATATATGCCGAACCGTATAGTGCGTGAAATATTGATGGGGTAAATATATTAGAAAAAGGAGACCTTTAGAAATTGAAATAACGTTTAAACAAAAGATTGTCTGCACCTGGGAACAATCTGCCATGCATACTGTACGTAGATCGTATGTTACGCACTCGTGGGATTAGCAAAGTGCTCCAGGATTCAAATTATAACAATGGTTGATTTCTAAAGGTCTCCTTTTCCTAATATATGCACTCCATCAATATTTCACGCACTACGGTTCAGCGTATGTGCAATTGAAAAGGCATTCAAATTTTAACAATATGCTTGATTTCCAAAGGTCTCCTTTTTTATACACCCTGTAGAAGTAGAAATATCCCCTGACTCAGACTGTAGAAATGCCCCCTGTAACAATGCGTGACTGCCAATTAACTCGCATCAATTACGCTTATTCTTGTTTGACCGCTTGACCAGGCTTAATTAACTCCAGGCCGGCGCGAAGGGTTTAACAGATGGATTATATTAATTCGCAAATTCATTCTTCGCAGTATATACAATTACAAGTCTATATATTCGCAAATGTTTGACCGAAAATGTTTCCAACCGGCTGCCCCAAACGTATACGTCCTTATATGATTCTATTAATGTTAGTTGTGAATTATGTATACTATGTTATACTGTTGACCTTGTATTGAGATAAATTGAATTTAAACAATTGTCAATTACACAAAAAATGAGGAAATCGAGTTCTGTAATCGATTCCTGAATTTTCTGGATTTTTGAACTGTACATCCAAGCCTGAGTCCAAGGTCAAGGTCTGACTTGGATTTTTATATAATACGATTTAGAGCCGTTGTAATGGTTCCTGAATTTTCTGGAATTTTAATCTGTACATCCAAGCCTGAGTCCAAGGTCAAGGTCTGACCTGGATTTTTATATGATACGATTTCCCAATGTATATATTGTAAATATTGGATTATTGACTACGGTTTTCCGGAAGTTAAGTAGGCGGTGATAATCTCATTCCGAAAAAATCAGTGTGACTTTCAGTCCCACATGTATATGATACCAATTTTTCAATTAATTAAGATAAACAACCCAATTAGAAAAACTTCCCACTATTGGGACTAATCCTGTATAAATGTGATGAATAAAGGCACCTGTAAAATGAGCAGTGATACAACTTGTTATACTTGTATATATCGAGTCGGACCGACTTTATCCTTTGGCTAAGTGGATACTTGCGTTGTCTGCCAGGGAATACTTATGCCTACAGACAAAAAAATTAAAAAATCAAAGGCGTGCCCCATATGCATGGCTGCATTGTCGAATAGTTTTGTCACAACACAGAATTGTATCTGAACTCTGTGATTCACTTTGCGTGCATGCTTTCTTCCTTCAAAACGGGTGATAGCCGGTGCAACGATACATACGATGAGCTAGCAATTTTCCTTTGGAGAATTTAAATTAATAAGTTTTATTTGGTTGTGCATGTATATGACAAAACTTGATATCATGATAAGGAACCTTGTTTTTATTAAAGCTAGTATGGCAAACTTTAATTTTTAATAAGAAAACTTAATAGTGTCATTGGGTCGAAAATAGAGCTTGTTTACACCGGGTTTATGAAACAACCGAGAAATCGTTGTCCCGATGCATGTAATTTCTTGATTTCGCAATTCGTATCCGGACATCAACACTTAATTGTTACCGTGAAATTAATTCCAAATATGGAAATACACACTTGCTCCAAGATATATATATATATGCATTCCTTCCTGTTGTTAAAAGCAACAACCGCTCGCCCACAGCTTCTACAAATCAAGATGATATACGTATATTGGAGCTTTCTCCTCACGGCAGTGCAAAAATAGGAGTGTTAATTAATTAACCCGACATCATTTACACTATCAGAGAGCAAAAGATTTCGGATTTGCTAATTCCGCCAGTTCGAGCATCAACACTGCAAAACAATTACGTTACGACTGAAGTGGAAGACGGCTTTTACGTAAGTTAAATTGTCTCGGATTGTATTGTTTCCATTTAAAAAGATTTTTTTATATCAGGTAAATTAACATAGTAACCAAGTTTAATATCGTAGGAATCGCGCGCACTCTGGGCACCACTAGTTATGGCCCCACTTATATTCTTTAGGTTGCAACGCTGCTGCTAGAACAAGTTGTTATCACCATCATGGGTTGATGACTTGCTACAGGTTGTCCCAACAAGACCACTACACAGGCTGTTCGTAACAAGTTGGTACAAGCTTGTTGTCATCAACTTGTTAATAAATTGTTACGTGCAGACGATATCAGCTGTTACAATTTGTGATGATACCAACTTGTAACAATTTGTGATGATACCAACTTACATGATGATAACAACTTGTTCCAGACTTGTCAACTGGGAAAAAGCAATACAAACACACCTTGTTGACAAACGGTGAGATTTTTACGTATGTAATTGATAGCCAACTATACGGTATATAGGCTGCTTGGAGAAGCCAAATTTGAAATTTTCTTCTCTTCCATGACAACTGCCGTATTTTTGTTTCAGTTTTTAATTTCTGTCGAACACTTAGTTTGGTGTGGCGGGTAAAAATGGTAACGACTGCAGATATGAACTGCAATCAAATTTTTCGGATACAGCCCTAACCCTATGACGAATCTGTAAATTCTATACTAATCTTGAACATGTATAAAAATAATACATTTCGTGCACGAGATCGTGCACGACTTGTCTTGTGATTGTGTGTAGGAGTATATCTAATTTATATTTCAACGAAGTTTACTATATAAGGAAAAGATTATATTATTTGTGGTCTTAAAAGCCGGATCATGTCTTTTCCATTGACCTTGTACAATCAAATCAATGTATATGCCCCCGTATATCCTGGCTGCTGTATATATAGTGTCAAGTGCGATCGTATTACTTCCCATACGGAAGACGTCGCTATGGCACAAAGAAAACCATGTTGGATATAAAATTTAATCACAGATTACGCAAGGGCCGCTTGCGACCTGAAGTATAAGATGGATTATACTTCGAAACAGTCGCCTCATATAACAATGTCTAACCAACTTTATTTCGCTCCAAACTACTTAAAATACAGCGATTTAACTAAATTAACATAAATTAACATAAACTTTAACACTCCCATAAGTCTCTGCGCGTCCATTTCTTCTTTGCCATTTTATTATGAACAAAACACCAAACAAGCGTCTTCAGGATGTCACTGTAAAGGAAGAAAGTGCATACACAAACACAAATGTAAACATAAACAAATCCCTGCAACATGAACACGAGTTTCTCTTTATACTCTGGGCGAGGAGGGAGGGACATAAATTGTTATGTTCGTCTCCTTTACTCTCGTATAATCCATCTTATACTTCAGGCAGCAAGCAGCCCTTGTATAATCTGTGATTATACTTCGAAACAGTCGCTTCATATATTAAAGCAACAATAACTCGTGTTCATTAGTAGAGATCGAGCCACTAATGGTTGATAGTCGGTTTGTAATAAAAACGTCTAAATGTAGAATCAGTAGACCAATCAGCCAATTTTAGAATATCTTGAAGAGGGATCCCTATGTTAAAGGAGGACGTAGCTGCAGCTCCTCTAACAGAATGGGCTTTAAATATATCAGTGTCAATACCAGCCCTGGAAATTATATCCTTCAACCACCTACCCAAAGTCGCCGAAGAGATCGGTTTGTGGGGTTTTATATGCGACAGCAGCAGTTTGTTAGGCATAGAAGGATCTTTAGGGCGAAAGCCCGATGTTCGTTTTTCATATTCTCTCAAACACTCGATAACACACAGCTTAGGATTGCTGGGAAAACTAGCATGAAACGATGATTTTAGCGTTGACCCAACTTTAGAGTTTTTAGTAAGTTCCGGTAGATGGAACATTACTCCATGCTGTGAGTAATGGCGATATCGCAGGTCATGAGCAATGACCTCTGAGACCCTTTCAATTGCAGTGAAAGCAAGAAGCATGCCTAACTTTTATGATAAATCCCTTAAGTGTCAAGTTGTTATTTGTACCTTTGGATTCTATAAAGGACAACACAGCTCCAACATCCCACATGCTGGAGTACCTTGGCAGGGGTGGTCGCAAGTTATATGCACCTTTTAATAGCTGAACTACTAAAGGGTGCTCACCCACTCGCACAAAATCAATGTGAGCATGGGTGCTGGATATAGCCGACCTATAAACGTTTAAGGTTCTGTACGCTTTACCCGAGTTATATTCTGTTGTTAAAAACTCAAGAATTGCTTCTATTGGGGCATGAACTGAACTAATTTGCCGCCCACCACATCAGCTATCCCACTTTCTCCAAGCAGAAGCATAGGTAGTTGCTGTGCCTTTGCGCCATGCTGCCAACAACAATTCTTGAGCTGGTTGTGAAAAGTCTGCTTGAGTGTATGATTGGCTGATGGCAGCCAACCTGCTAGCTGGAGATTGTCTAATGGATGCATCTCCATCTGGCGTGTTAAGAGGCCTTGATAGTGGGGCAGTAGAATTGGTGCCGCTATACAACTCTGTAGGAGAAGTGGATACCACCACGGCTGGGATTGCCAAAGAGGTGCAATCAGTACTAGAAACGGGACACTCTGGTCTAAAAGTTTCTTGAGGCATCTGCCCACTAGAGCAAATGGAGGGAAGGCATATCCCTTCACCTTGCTCCAGTCCTGGGTAAATGCATCTGAGGCATCTGCCTGTGGGTCGGGTCTCCAGCTGTAAAATCTTGGGAGCTGGGTTATCAACCGGGAAGCAAAGAGGTCTACCTCTAGTGGGCCCCACAACTGATTTATTGTGGAAAACACCTGGGGGTCTAGCTTCCAATCGTGACGATCCAACATTACTCTGGACTCCCTGTCTGCCCGAACATTTAGCACTCCTGGGAGATATTCGGCGTCTACAAGGATTTCGTGCTGTATGCACCAATCTCAAAGGTCGAGTACTGGTCGAGCTAAAACTGGGGATTTGGACCCCCCATCTTGTTTATGTAGTGTGCAGCTGCGGACACATTGTCCATCAGCAAACGAACAGTCATCCTGGCCTTGCCTTTGGTAAATGTTTTCACAGCAAAGGCCCCGGCCAGAAGCTCCAAACAATTGATGTGGAGAGAGGATTCTGCTTGGGACCACTCCCCCCCTGTGGACGTTCCCATGCAAACTGCTTCCCACCCTTTTGGGATGCGTCGGTCTCTATAACCAGGTCTGGACTCCCTGAAACCAAGGCTTTTCCATTCCAAGCATCCAGGTTGTCTCTCCACCACACCAGCTCCTCTTTGGCCTGTATGGTCAACTTGAAGGGGTCAACTTGAAGGGGTTTGCATTCCTGTAAGTGGCGGAAGTGTAGGGGGGCTGGAAAGACAGCCTGGATCAGTTCTCGCACCGCGACAACCTGCAAATCCAGGAGATTCTGACACTCTTTCTTTACTCTTCGAATTTTGTCGCGAGGAAGAGCAAGGGTCAGTGCTTGGGAATCGACTAAAAATCCCAGAAATTCCATCTTTTTGGATGGGATGAGGTTGGATTTCTGATAGTCTATCACAAACCCTAGAGCCTCCAGAAGATTGCAAGTTGTCTGTGCATGTTGATTGGCTAGGGTTTCTTTCTCGGCCATAATAAGTATGTCGTCCAGGTATATAATAAGACGAATACCCTGTTTCCTTAATTGGGCAACCACAGGTTTCATTAACTTTGTGAACACCCGAGGGGCACTTGACAGTCCGAAGGGTAGGCATGCAAACTCGTACATTGTTTCCTTCCAAATAAACCGAAGTGGGTGGACTTTTGCTTTCTCGGGCATTTGATTGACCTCTAAGTCGATTAGAGCACTCTGCTCTCTGTTGTGAACACGTAGCAAGGACAGGGCATGCTGAAACGGAACCTACAAAAGATCGATATGATATCCCTGACCTGTCTCTATAACCCAATGGGTCGTTGCTTATCAATGCCCAGTTTTGGGAATAATGCTTTACACGCCCTGCTAAAGGGAAAGAACTCACATACATACCTTGCTGCTTTAACTGGATGTTGCTGGGTTGAAGGGCTGTTGGCAATATAATCCTCGCGAGCTCCTCCCCCGAGCCCTGAAGTTGGGTTCATAGTTGTTGCGTCTGAAACTGTGGGAACCTCGCTGTGCACCGAACCCATGGTTCCCTCGAAACTTGCGGAATTGGGTGGTGCGGCCTCGAAATAACTGTTGTTTTCGATTTCCTACAGAGGCTGCCTGCAGTAAAGTTTTTGCAGTCTCAGAACGGGTACGAATTATTCCTCAAACCCTTCCCCAAACAGGCTACGTCCGGCTTGAGAAAATTCTTCAGATGCAAAAGATGCCAGAGTACCCTGTGAATTGATCTTCTGTAATACAGCTTTTCTTCTTTCTTGTGATAACAAGGCTGATGCATTACCCAATAAACGTATTGCATTAGAAGTAATGCTACCTAACTCATTGAGCTGTTCATATGTCAAATCAATTGTTTTGCCAGGTTGACATTGAGACAACATCCCAAAGATATGTTCAAACAATAGGCTTACTGGACCAAGGGTGTCAAGCAGCCGATCTTGGAGGAATTTACTTTGCTTGTCTACCGCTTTCACTCCAGGGACGAGACTGGTGAGATAGTCATCCAAATTTGGTCTATAAACAGAGTCCACGTCTGGACGAGGATATTTTCGACAGATAATTTTCCTCTCTAAGGATAATAATGGTTTTCGAATAGTATCCAAAAAGGATGACAACTCTTCGGACGCCTGCCATCGAGATGCAGACTGGGCTTGCCGGTCCTCGTCATCAATAATAAAGGACTCATCATTTTCGCCCAAGAAATTCTCTTCAAACTCTACATTCTCATCAGTCTCCACTGTGGGAGGACTGTCCGCCCTTCTTGGCCTTTTAGTTGCCGGGCCTTCGACAGTTGTTGCTGTTTCTTGAGCCTTGAGTGCTCCAGCATTTCTTTCCTGAGGGTGGCGAGCCCTGAGCGCTTCACCAGATTCCTCGTTTAAAATTGCTTTGCGAAGCATTGTCAAAGCTTCTGTATCGTTAAACATTTTCTCAACAAGTGAAGTAGGGCTAACGTTACCTTGTCCATCCTCAGGAACCACGACCACAGGCGGGATGGCTGAACCACGAGCAGAATTTTCTTCACCACGACTTGTGGAATCCATTGTTTTTTATGTGCGAAATAAAATGGCGAAGAAGAAATGGACGCGCGCAGAGACTTATGGGAGTGTTAAAGTTTATGTTAATTTATGTTAATTTAGTTAAATCGCTGTATTTTAAGTAGTTTGGAGCGAAATAAAGTTGGTTACACATTGTTATATGAGGCGACTGTTCCAAAGTATAATTTTTAATTTTTTATCTTTAATATAAATAACATATCAACCTTTAGAATTATAAATCTTTTCGCAAACATATACCTGGCATTCTCAGTAATATCACATTGTTGGTCACATATTTCCAAACCCTGAAAATCTGTTACGTTTAATGCTTTATAGATTTATCACTTTTCTTCCATGTATGAGGGCCTTAAAATGTACTGCTAAATTTAATTAGTGTATGGTTACATATTCTTGAGCACTGAGAGACTTAGAGTGGAACTAATGACCATGACAAAAAGAAAATGCTACGATACGTTACGTTATACGATACGATTGAAGTGGAAAACGGCCTATATTATAATATATGTTATATAAGATCAATTTTCAATACACGAATCGGGTTATTTTTCTGAAGTGAGAACTTTAGTTATTTTCTTAATTATCCTTTTGCTGGTTCTAGACTTCAATTTCCTTATCTGAGGAATCCCAATGGCGCACCAATCACTGTCCTTTTCCAGATCGAGCGGATAAATCGTTCTTAACTTTTCACCGTTGATGATCAGTTGACCGTAAACAACTGGCATCCACTTATCATTTAACCTAGTCTTTGAGTGGATCAGTTGTTTGAAGGATTGCGGATGGTACGGTACGCTTGCGATATCCGCGCCTGTGTCAAACATACCCTTTTCTTCAGATACAACTTTCTCCTTTTTGTGCGGATTGTTTTTCCTTTTTTTTGCGGATGGATCTATCAGGGTGATATCAATACATTTCAAATCTTTAGTGCCTATCCATCCACGGCCATGCTCTTTATGTAACGGCCATATTCTGATGACAGGCTTATCATCATCCATAAGATGACTATTTCTGTGCGCCCATTTAAGTGCATCTTGCTCCTTACGAAACGATTGTCAACGATTTTGCCCGCTCTTACATGATGGTAGGTGAGGGCGTAGTTGCAGTGTCGGCCAATGAGACTTTTCTTGTTCTCTTGCTGTATTCTATTCTTATTCTCATCCCAATACTTCTCGTGTTTTCGGTTTTTTTCTTCGATTTCTTTTTCCAGTTTTTGGTATTTGGGTTCAGATTCCTGTAATATAAAATGGCATACTTGTCAAGTATCATATATATAAAGTTAGGAGTGAACCGAAATTAATATTTTAAGTTCCGGCCGGAACCGGATATTTAACAGTTATTCTGCGAACAGTTATTCATATTTAACAGTTATTCTTATTTAACAGTTATTCTTGTTGACTTTACTTCTATAAAGGGTTTCTGGTATACGGCCCTGAATTCGCTGTTGGAAGTATATCCAGTCTCCAAATGCACGTTTTTACTGCACTTGATCAATCTTGTTCAGTCAGACGTTGTTCAGAATTTTTCATTCAAAACTGATAAATCTGAAATTTTGAAAGAAGTTTGCGAAACCATAAAATGTTTACAAACTTTCTGGGCTCGTAGCCTTTAGCCTGGAAAGCTTTATAACAATGGTGTACATTGCTGATGAGCCACTACTTTATAAATGTAAGACTCGCTATCGTATATAGGAACTTGAACACTAATTTCATGGAGGCCAATTAGCATTTGCAATTCATGCATTAGGGGCTAGTCTGTAGTGCAGTAAACATGTTTGCATGGACTTCGAGTACCAGATATCACTAGTGAGATAAATTTTAATTCTGACTTGCATATAATGGTCCAATTGATAGGGTTTGGGCTATTACTGTAGCTATATAGCTGCATGTCTATATGTAAGCGCACCGTGTCAAACCTCCTATACAGGCACTTAATTCTCATGCACGTACACGTATATCTCAGGATCTCAGGCAAATGTCAGCCCTTCAGTCTTTTATATGTTTAGAAGCAATACTGAATTATAATTCCTAGATACCCTTTGTTCTGGATCGCAGATTACATTATTCTTCTTTTCCCTAACATGAAAAATAGGAAAAACACAACATATAGAGCACAATTTTTCACTCGTGCATGTTTTTTACAAATTGCATGCACTAGAAACCGTACTATATATTACCTATACTAAATAAAAGAGCAATCCAGCATAAATAAAAGGACCCACACAAAATTAAACCCATATTTATAGCGCAGTTTTTTGTAACAGAAATGGTTATCGTGTAATAAATATGTTCAAACAATGCAGCTCACGCAACAGAGAACAATAGACAGAGTAAAGCAGTAAATAACAGCAAAACTATACTGATACCTTTCTAACAGACTTCTCTTCTCGTCATCGTTCTGTTCAATAGTGGATTTAAGCACTAAATTAAAATAAAAATTATTTATACTTTCTGAAACAAATGATGGAAGCTTGATGGAAGCATATGAGGAACGCTTGTTGGTGAATGACCTGATGTTGTATACAAACATATATGCAAAACTATCCCTTGGAGTAACAGGGTGTGAATCAAAATGCCATAAAGTGTTAGGACAGGCATGGGATAACAAAAGCGATGAGTTTAAGTTTGAGATTGCGAAGGTGGGGGAAAGGGCAAAAACCTTATCACCTACAAAGCGAAATCTATTGAGTGTTTTAGCAACTTTATTTGATCCTCTCGGAATAGTTAGTCCAGTGATTGTATGTGCCAAAATATTGTTACAAGAAGTATGTAAGGATAAAGTTGATTGGGATGAAAACTTCACTGAGGAGTTACTGCATAAGTGGGAGGGTTGGTACAGGGATTTGATAGAAACTAAGGAAATTACCACTCCTCGCTGTATATATCAACATCGTGCAGAAGATGTTTTGGAGTGTACCTTGCATGGATTTGGCGATGCGAGCAAGAAGGCATACTGTGCAGTTGTATATTTTGTGCATCGTACTAATGTAGGGGTTTATGTACGCTTATTGACATCAAAGGCAAGAGTAGCTCCCTTAAAAACAACTAGTATTCCCAGGTTAGAGTTAATGTCAGCGAAGCTCTTAGCGCAGATTATGAAGTCAGTAAAAGCGTCACTTGAAAACCAGGTTAGGATAGATAGTACCAAGTTTTGGCTTGACAGTATGACAGCACTCTACTGGATAATGAACAGGGGTGAATGGAAACAATTTGTCCACCACCGAGTAAATGAGATCTTGAAGCTAACAAAGGGGATTGGGGGGGGGGGGGCATTGTCCTGGAGTTGAAAATCCAGCTGACATTGGGTCTAGAGGTGTAATTGCTTCACAATTGAAAGATAACAAGCTATGGTGGGTGGGGCCAGATTGGCTAACTAAGTCCAAAGAGGAGTGGCCAAAATTTGAGGCTACTGGCATGGTAAGACAAAGACCGTTTTGGAAGAGGAACGAAAGTCTGTAGTAATGGTTGTAGAGGTGACAGAGCCATCTAGTATAAGTAGAGTGATTGACTAGAAGGATTATGGGACAGCGAAACGACTTTTTAGAGTAACAGCTTGGGTACTTAGGTTTGGGTTTAATGTACGAGCATAAGCAAGGGGCATTGATAGGCAAAGGGGAGAGTTGACAGTGAGTGAGTTAGTTGAGGCAGAGAGTATATGGATTAAAGAGGCTCAGGCAGGGTTGAAAGTAGATAGAAAGTACACCCAGCTGAGTAATAGTTTAGGTTTGATAGAAGAGGAAGGCATTATGAGATGTAAAGGTAGATTACATAATTCTGAGTTAGAGTTTAATACCAAACACCCAATCATTATACCCAAGGACCACAGATTGACTGAATTGATTGTCCAGAAATGTCACAGTGAAGTACATCATTGTGGTGTACGGGCAACCTTAGGACGATTAAGGACAAAATATTGGGTTGTGAAAGGTGAAGATGCGTCACCTGTAGGAGATTAGAGGGAAAGGCATATAGTGTAGCACAGACGGCAGATTTTCCAGGATTTCGAGTTAGGGAAACCGGACGTCGACCTTTTTCTAATGTGGGAATAGATTTTGCAGGTCCATTGTTTGTAAAGTGTTGTGCAAAATGTCCAAGTAAGGTTTATATAGCATTGTTTTCTTGTTGTGTGACTAGAGCCATACATTTGGAGCTAGTTAGGGATTTGTCTGCAGAGACATTTTTATGTTGTCTACGGAGATTTGCTGCTAGGAGAGGAATGCCAAGCCTTATAGTATCGGACAATGCCAAAACGTTTAAGGTTGCAGAAAGGGCAATTAGATGGTTGTTTAACCAACCTAAGGTTAAGGCGGAATTGCAAACCAAACGAGTAACATGGAGGTTTAATTTAGAAAGAGCGCCTTGGTGGGGAGGATTTTTTGAGAGAATGGTTCGGAGTGTTAAACGGTGTCTTAGAAAGGTTCTAGGTAATGCCAAATTGACAGTAGATGAACTTACCACAGTGCCATTAACAGATGAGTATGAAGAGTATGAAGGAGAGGTTTTGACACCGTCACATCTAATTTATGGTAGAGCTATTAACTTCATACCACAAAGTGAAGTAGTTAGAGAGGAACGTAGCTGTGGAGAAAGATTTAAGTATATTACGTTGAAATTACAACATTTCTGGAAGAGGTGGCAAAGTGAGTATCTGACACGGTTGAGAGAATTTCACAAATGTAAGAGTGGAAATGCGAGAAAGAGTGTGAAGAAGGGAGATGTAGTGACAGTGTATGGAGAGGGAGAGAAACGAGGTAATTGAAAATTAGCAAAAGTAGAAGAACTAATTATAGGTAAGGACAAGGAAGTTAGAGGGACCAAAGTAAGAGTTGCAGGGAAGGATAGACCAGTTTACCAGAAACTTTACCCGTTAGAGATTCAAGCTCGACCGGGTGGGAAAGGGAAGGAAGGGAATGCCCCTTCAGCTGAGTCAGAAGGTTCCTTGCATGATTTGCATGAGCGTCCAAGACGAGCTGCTGCTCTTATTTCCAAAGCGAAGACAAGGGCGATGCTTGATTCATAGATGAATCCTTTATGGATCAAGGTGGGTGGGGTGTTGTACGTTCCCAGCGCAGTGCCGCTAGTTTTCCGCACAGCAGTTCTGCTACTTAATGTAAATATATGTATATAGTATTGCTTACGTCATAGTGATTCTTTGTAATTTAATACTATTATTGATTGAGGCTAATATGTAAATTCAGTTGTGATCAGATCGTAGACGAGGAAGTCTAAAAGCGCGTTGTAAATAGAAAATATTATCAGTACTCTGTTCGTACCTGGTCTCGAGGGCATTCTGGTGGTGGAAGATGTGTCTGATCTTCTTCAAGAAGAGCTGCCTCACATTGTTCTTCATAACTTCGCAGGCTAACTAAATTTTAAAGATACAGTAACTAAGAAAAATTAAGCATAGATCAAAGAAAAATAAAATATTCCTTAAATGATGCCTACACTCTTTTCCTAACCATAATCCTTAGCCAACCCTCTTCTTAACCCTAACCCTCATAAAGATTGCAGATGAAGTCCAGAAATATGGATCGAAAGCTTTGCAGAAATAAATAAGTGTGGTGTTTTCCACACTAAACCAAGATAGATTAAATTGAATGATCCGTCATCCGTATAAGCTAATACCTTCGACTTTGATGCAGAATTTCCTCTAGATGAGATACTCGTTGAGCTTTTATTCTATAAAGTATAGGAGAAAGTTCTTCAATAGTTCAATCTCTGTTAGACAGGTTATTCAATCTTTCCAACCTATTCAAGTCAGTGTTACGACCGATATTAGCATAGGCAAAGTTAACTTGAATACATGACAATTCGAACGTCTTTTAAACATACTCTCTGTGGGACACGTCCCCAGGTATTCAGCGGCATGGAGAATACAAATTACAAAATTTATTGATGGATAAGAGACTTTTACATTATTGGGCAATCTGATATATATATACACAAGTTAAAGTTGGCAAGCTTATTTGGTAGCCATGCATACACCCAACTGAAGTTATTCTTTTTGCACGTTCTGTATTAGCGTGCTTAATTATAAGTGCTAGCATGGATAAAGGTTTGGTGCATGTAAATTATGTTTGAAATAATTATGGTTCAGTACATTGAATGAAAACAATCTTATCTTTGGAATAATTGTTCGCCATTGCCATTACCTTTACTAATTTGTCTAATTGTCTTGTGACCATTAGTAGGAGCTTGATCAAGTGATTCTGAAACTGATAGTGATGGTAAATAATAATGGTGATCATGAATGTGGTAATATGATAATAATTGGAGGATGGAATTCGTTGTGACAATAGTGGTTTGGTAATTATGAGGGGAAAGGTAGTGATGTTGAAAATGGTGATACCATAACTGTGAATGATAATGAAATTTGATGGCGGTGGGGATGACAATAATGGTAGTCATATGATATAGCACTAGTACTGGTGATACTAGTAGGCTACTTGTGATTTCCTGATAGCAGACCTGATAGCAGAATATAATTCAGGAAAGTTTTACCTGCAGGATTTTTACTGCTTTATATAATTTGATGGAAGCTGGCTAAAATACATTCAAAATCTAAAGCTTTCCCACACTCGTGAACGAGCAATATAACTCATGACCTGCAGCTGTATTACGCAACAATTATAGCTAATACAATATTTTGTTTGCATACGTGGTAATAATAATAATTATACCGTTCACAGGGACGCCGGAACGATGTGAAGGCAAAGGGGGTAGATTTTCGTGAAAGGGCACTTTTGAATTGATATTTTCTAACTTCTAAGAGATGTTTGCAAAAAATCGGGAGTTGAACTTCGCCTAATCATGTTTTCTATTTATTGCATGATAGTGGTGTGAGGGAGTTCTCCGCTAGGTGATTGTGCTATTCTTGAAGCTCGATGACTGCATTTCTTGCGTTTTCTGAAGCAAATTCGTAAAAGAATTGCACTGACAATTCGCTACAATTCGCTAATTGCACTGACAATTTCTGAAAATTCGCTGTTTCGCCCTTTCAATTTAGAAATTGAAAGGGCTTTTTTCCCCTTGCAATGCCCCTCCTGGTAAAGGGCAACGGGGGCGGCTGCCCCTCCTGCCCCCCCAGTTCCGGCGTCCCTGATACTTCAGCTGTTTTTTGAAGAGAAATACACGAGATTGTTCGACTTTTCTCACGTGTACTACAATATAAACTTGTGTCATTAGAAATAGTACGCCATACCGTAATACTAAAATTTTAATACTAACTAAAAATACTGGTCCGGTTTCTCCGGCAGACAGAGGTCGTCGGACGTCTGTCAGAAGTCTGATGCAATCTTCAGTAAGCCGAATCAATCTGCCCGCTATAAAACAGCAAATTTACTTATTTTTTTAGGCTATATGCTCCGGTTCGTGCCATTAAATAGCTACTCAAACAGACTTGAGTGGAATCAAACGCGTTTCCGACCATAAAGCGCTTGTCGAAACCTCATGAAATGACGTTCAGTAAATGCAAATTTAAAGTCAACACTTAGGCTTATTAACAATTACCGATATATTTTTCATTATTTTATGGAAGAGAAATACATGAGATTGTTCGACTTTTTTCACATGTACTACTACAGAAACTTGGGTCATTAGAAATAGTACGCCGTCCCCTAATACTAAAATTTTGGACCGCTTTAGGCTCCGGCAGACAGAGGTCGTCGCTTAATATTGTGGACTTCTCTATCACAAGTCTGATGCAATCTTCTTAATTAATTAAAGGACATTGGCAATAAAAAATTAGTATGTCTCATTCAAAAGAACTCTTAAAATTATATATTAAACTCTATTACCGATTTGTCATATCTTGCTTAGTTCTCGAAATATTTAGACCGAAATTAATGAGCTTTCCGCCATCTTGGAAAAATTCTTTACCTCATTAACTATGGTTTTGATGACGTCAGGAGTTAGGTTAATTAACTACATAAAACTACTCGAAAATGACCGAATAACAATCCAAAATTGTTTGAAATGTTTTTAATCATTTCTAAACTTCTGACAGCAACCAGAAACGAACTTTTGGACCCATATTGATTGCTTACTCTCAAGATAAAAAATTAGCGTGACCCCTCTCTTGACGTAACATGCATATCCTCAATAATCCAAGATGGCGAACAGCTCACTTCATTTCAGTCGAAATATTTTGAAAACTAAACAAGATATAAACAATCTGTAATAGAGTTTAATATATAGTTTTAAGAGTTCTTTCAAATGAACTAAAAGATATAAACAATCTGTAAAAGAGTTTAATATATAGTTTTAAGAGTTCTTTCAAATGAACTAAAATAATTTTTTATTGCCAATGTCCTTTAAGCAATCAATCAGCCCACTATAAAACAGCAAATTTACTTATTTTTTAAGCTATATACTCCAGTTCTTGCCATTAAAATAGCTCATTCAAACAGACTTGAGTGTAATCAAACGCGTTTCCGACCATAAAGCGCTTGCCGTAACCTCATGAAATCATGTTCAGTTAATTTTTAATGCAAAACAACAGTCAACACTTGAGCTTAACAATTATAATATATCTTTCATTATTTTAATAATTCTCGATCATTTCTAGTAGTAGTAAGCAACCTACATAAATTAATCGCTGCTCCAACGATTATTCGCTATCTGTGCTTTCATATCTTACTACATTTTCCAGAGTATTTTGTATGCCGACTTTGCCGTTTGATACGATGTTGTTATTGCTAATCTTGTTACGAAACAACAAGCGTTGATATCAAATATTAATCTTTCGCTTTCCGAATGTACAACGATTGAACAAACTGTTACATTTAAAAAGTACTTACCTCTAGTTAAGAAACAGTTATAGGATGGTACACAGCATTACAGGTAAACTACGTGAAGCGTTCCTCTTTTGACTTCCTAACTCATTTGGAATTTTCCTCATTAGCTTTGCAAATTTGAAAAACTCTTTGTAAATCCCTTGAGGGAATTTGCAATGTTCCTATCGGCTGTTGCAATATTCCAAACTTCATATTAAATTTTCCTAACTTCCTGTTTTAATTTCCTAACTTCCTGTTCTGTTCTGAGCGTTGTTATTGGTCGATTATTTTTGTTAGCCAATTGCAACACGCAGAACAGAACAGGAAGTTAGGAACTTGCAACAGGAAGTTAAGAACTTCTAACAGGAACTGAGGAAAATTTTATTGGCTTTTAGCAACATTGCAAATTTCCTCAAGGGATTTGCAAGGGAGTTTTTTAAATTGCAAAAGTAATGAGGAAAATTGCAATCAATTTAGAAACTCAAAAGAGGAACGCTTCACGTAGTTTACCTGTAAATGGCAAACGTTTAAAGCGATATCCTGCATGTGCGACACTACAGTAAGGGCTACGATATGCTCGAATGACCTGTATACTGTATAGCCTCGATTTGAGTTTAATCAACGTCAGAACAGCATAAGAATACTTTCTCACAAACATGTCAGGCGCAGCGAGTGTTTCATTTAGACGCGCATTTATTGTTAAGAAATAGGTAATTGAAGCAAATTGAGCATGTAGCTTTTGCCAACAGGTAGATTTTGCCAACACTTGGGGACAGTGCAGCTCCCCCTGCATGCACCAACACGGCGGTGAAACGTAAAACGCTTGCGCGGGTACACGGTAATAGCGGGGAAAATCTCTGCCAATATAGATAGATAGATTGTTCAATGAAAACCTTTATGCAGCTAGCAAGCTGAATTGTTAAGGTATTAGATTATTTACAAAGGTAATTTAATTTAATCTACTATTTAAAATTTATTCATAATTAGAGTTATTAAAAATATTCTTGTTGTAGTGAAGAGAGCTAGATATTAAAAATGATTTTTTAAATCGATTGGTTTCACATATTGGAATAGTAAAAGGTCTTACGTTCCTGAGATATTTTCTTTGATTTTTGTTATGTGGAACAAGGTCGTGGAGTTGGTCTGCAGGATTCCGACAAGGTTGTGGAGTCGGTCTGCAGGAGTAAATACGAGAAGTGTGATAGGATATAGATCTGAATTTCGATTGAATTATATATCTATTGTTTGAAACAAAACATGAAACAATATAAACAAAACATGTACGTGAGCATAACGGACTTGACTGCCGCTTTAAGAATATAGATATTGTTCAAATAAGGGAAGTCTCACATATCAATTTTGTCTCTTGGGACCCCCCTCCCCTTAGAAACGTCACACATAGTTATCGATGTTTTGTTCTTTTGACCGGTCTTCGAGACAGTTGAATTCAAATTACTTTAGGATGCTTCCGAGAGAAATATGTCGTCTTCTGCTGACATATGTTTTCTAATTAATATACTATGAACTTAAGAATTTAAGAACAAACATTACGTTTGCATGAAATATTGACAATTTTAGCGCGTTTTCTTGAAATTTGAGTGTTTTCAATGCAAGGAAGACGTAATAATATGAATGTTTAGAACATGCAGATATAGTATTACGAATGTATAAACTGGTGGAGTGGACAAAATCGATATAAGTTCTTTGAATGTTTGCATGGCGATAAAATATAATTGTTTCCAATTAAAATAATATAAATTATTATAATAAATAATAATAATAATAATAATATTAATAATAATAATATTAATAATAATAATAATATAAATAATATTATTAATAATATACTATTAATATAATATCAATATTAATAATATAATAATAATAATAATATGATAATAATATAATAATAATAATAATAATAATATAATATAATATAATATAATATAATATAATATAATATAATATAATATAATATAATATAATATAATATAATATAATATAATATAATATAATATAATATATTATAATATAGCATTTGTAAATTCTGAACGCTGATTGGCTAAGAGCAGTGTTGATATAACTCCATGTCAACACGGGAAATTTTCCGCCGCTTGTAACACGGAAATTGTTCTTATTCTTCGGGCTTTTGACATTGCTATATTATAAAAAAAATATAAAACATTTTTTCCGTATTGATATATAGTTATATCAACACTCGTGGAAGTTGGGAAAACTCGAAATTGTATGAAAACACTCCGCCCTTTGGGCGTCGTGTTTCCACACAATTTCTCGTTTTCCCAATTTCCACTCGTGTTGATATAACTGTATATCAACACGGAAAATGTTTTATATTTGTTAAATATAATATAATATAATATAATATAATTAATATAATTAATATAATATAATATAATATAATATAATATAATATAATATAATATAATATAATATAATATAATATAATATAATATAATATAATTAATATAATTAATATAATATAATATAATATAATATAATATAATATAATATAATATAATATAATATAATATAATGTAATGTAATGTAATGTAATGTAATGTAATGTAATGTAATGTAATGTAATGTAATGTAATGTAATGTAATGTAATGTAATGTAATGTAATGTAATGTAATGTAATGTAATGTAATGTAATGTAATGTAATGTAATGTAATATAATATAATAATATAATAATATAATAATATAATAATATAATAATAATATAATAATATAATAATATAATATTATTATTATTATTATTAATATTATTAATGTAATAATAATAATATTATTGTTATATTGTAATAATAATAATAATAATAATATTAATTGTTTCCAATATAATTGTTTTATTGATCTTGATATAATTGTGTGTTTTTTTGTTTGTTTCCACAAACAAAAACAATTAAAATCGATATACTAACCCAAAATCGATATACTAACCTAACCCTGGCGCTATGAATAACCCTGCAAGATTTATACCCCTTTTCTAAATGTAAACGCGAAATTGCAAGGTGTAACATGCATCGCAATCATATATTGCGGACTATATTGCTTGGTCTATCATCGCTTGCAATGCAATGCAATTGTGGCATCGCTTGCAATGCAATGCAAAATATAGTGGACTATATTACTTGGTGCATGTATCATCGCTTGCAATGCAATGCAATGCAATGCAATGCAATGCAATGCAATGCAATGCAATGCAATGCAATGCAATGCAATGCAATGCAATGCAATGCAATGCAATGCAATTCAATGCAATGCAATGCAATGCAATGCAATGCAATGCAATGTAATGCAATGCAATGCAATGCAATGCAATCCAGGTGATCTTGATACGCGGAAAAGTACTGGCACTAGTTGTCAAATAGAAATCCATTTTATGATTAAAACAACTGAATATCTCCTGTAATATACTTTATTTCGATTCCATATTTTTATCAGAGCCATAGTTCTCATAACCAAACATAATCACAAAATTTCAACTAGTTTCATAAAGAATAATGAAAGATATAATTGACTGAATACATCAAAATGGATTTCTATTCGGATAACCCTTTTTGAGCGCTGATTGGCTAAAATACGAACACGAGATCACCTGGATGCAATGCAATGCAATGCAATGCAATGCAATGCAATGCAATGCAATGCAATGCAATGCAATGCAATGCAATGCAATGCAATGCAATGCAATGCAATGCAATGCAATGCAATGCAATGCAATGCTGAAATGTTTTTTCTAAACATTGGGAGACAAGATGTGAGACAAGTTGCATAGTGTAACAGCGGCTTAATTTAAATGCAAAATACTGAAAATGTTTTCTTGCATCTTTATTCGTAAGTACGTACCACACATGACTGGGAATTCACTAGAGAGATGCTATACGCATGCTGATCATGGGGCGAGGATGAGCAAGAGCAACGATAGCCAGAAACGATAGTGGATAGCGAGTAACTACATGATCATGCAACAATGATTGCTAATGTCAATCTTTCTTGTTTCCGCACTTTAATTAATTAAACTATCATTGGCCGCATTACAATGTAGTTTCGAGATTTCAAAGGCAAATCTCGCCATAGTATTATAAATGTTGGGAATTGTATTAATATCCGTGTATTATATTTGATATTTTGTTCAAAGGAATAAAACTCGTAGTATTAGAGTAATGTTGGGAATTGTATTTCTATCCATGTAATAATAAGGCCTGTTCTAAACGTCGCATTTTTCATGTGCCGAATGCATTCAAAACAATAGATGATCAGCTGACATGCCTCATTATATGAGGTTATGCAATAACAAAGGTTAACAGCTAGGGAACCAAGCCTCGTTACGTCAGCATGATGATGTGACCAAAAAGGGGGCCGGGCGCATACGTAATAATAGCTTGACCGCGCATTGGTGGTATTAGTAACCATTGTGCGTTAGAAGTGTAGAAGACGTATCAGGAACAAAGTTGTTTTTTTCTCCTGCTCATTTATATTTCCACCAATTGTTAGTTCATGCAAAGGTGTTGGCCTTGCGGGGGTGGTCTGCTCAAGATACCACTGGCATGGATCTTAACCCGAGTCCAAGTAACAGTAAGGCCAGTAGTCGTTCCAGGCCACCCCTTGGTCACCCGGGCTAACACCTCACCATCCAAACAGGTAAGTATGGTGAACGAAGGCCAGTTAACCATTGTTTTGAATGCATTCGGTGCATGAAAAATGCGACGTTTAGAACAGGCTTTATATTTGATATTTTGTTAAAACATTAAACACGTTTGTGATGTTACTCTGAGTGGATATCCACACCGGGCGAGCTTGAAAAATATGCCCGGCCACGGTGGGATTCGAACCTACGACCTTTGGAATACTAGCCCAATGCTCTTCCAACTGAGCTACGCGGTCAGGACGGTTTGAGTAAGTGATATTTCGGAACAGTATCTAGTTCCTTCAATACCAATGTGTTCTTGTAATATGAATTTTTTCTGTGCTGGTGTTGTGTACTCAGGGCATATTTTTCAAGCTCGCCCGGTGTGGATAGCACTCAGAGTAACATCACAAACATATTATTCACCTGAGTACACAACACCAGCACAGAAAAAATTAAACACGTTATTGAAATCACAATCTTTTCAATCTTTCATGCATGAAATATTGAAATAAATAATATAGAAATGGTTGAATGCATGATTTTTGGCACGCTCACTAAAAATAGCAGATGCATACATGCACTGCATGCAAACAAAACATTTAATACATACCTATATACAGAGCCGGATTGCAAAAACTTGCAAATAAGGTCATTTTTTCATAGTCTTAGAGAAGAATAACAGAATTACAGAATATTAAGCCCAAAATCAAATCGAAATCGGGCTTTGGATCAGAATTTGAACCGCAACTCACTCAGAAATCGACTAAAGTAAAATTGTGATGTGCTTAATACTGACCACTGTAAAATAATACTGACCATTCCAATTTCCATTTGTTATCTGGCATGAAGAATATATTTCATCGCATGTCGCATGAAAAATTGTCAGCCGGTGAGAGGCGAAAGGCCCGTAAAATTTACTGTAAATCACTGTGGGACTGAAAGTTCTCAAAATATCCGGTGCGTGGCGAAAGGCCGGTAGGATTTAAGTCACTGTAAGAAAAGTTCCGTGTATGTACGTAGAACGCACCATAATACATTGCGCTCAAGCTTGATGAGCCACCAAACTGTGGGGCTCGCTCAGGCTCACCCCAATAATCATAAATAAGCGGTACGATTATACCACGGCTTATTCTTCGACTTAGGTCACCCGAGAACAATTAGTGCTTAGCCAACTGGTTAGAATTGCATGTGTGCCTAATTGTTTCTCTTCTGTGCTTTAATTATAGTTTTTCCCATCTTTTTCATAACCTTTTTCGCCATGGATTTGGGCAAATGTACCATTTGCGGAACTCCAACAGCATGATCACCCGTGTCCTCGTCCATTTCTATGTTATAAATTTCGGAGAGTTCGATACCATTAAATTTCAGTTTTCCTAAGCTGACACTTGACTTCAAATCACCATTCACTTCAATCATTGAATTAACCAATACTTCGGTAATTTTTCTATCATAACCAAAGCTAGCGATATCGGAGGCTGTGTCGAATATAGCCTGCCCTTCAAATTCAACTTTTCCTGTTGATGGATTTATTATTTCGAGTGTCATATGTCTAAGATCTTCACTCGTTAGTGCATGGGGTTTTCTTTTGCTCAGGTCCCATGTCAAGATGAAACGTGACTCTGTAAGGTGATCAAATGCTTTTTGCTCGTCAGGAAAAAACCTATACAAGAGTTAGTTTTCATTCATAACATCATTGTATGTGAGGACCCAGTCGCCTTGATTTAATTCGGACTATTTTATTCTGATTTTTGTCAACAAACTCCCCATGTGCTTTGGCTTTCTTGTGTTGCTTGAAATCGAGCTCCTGTAGCATTAAAATTCATATTTGTTAATTATTTTAAAGTGTGTTCGTTAGCTTCAGAAGTGCTAATGATAAGATGAAATCATGGTGGGAATTTTTTTGTAATATGCTTAAATTGTTACGCTATGCGTACATGTATCTATGCAAAGCATTGAATTGGCCCAAAGTATTAAATTTGCATTGTTGCAATGAAAAAAAACCCTGAATTTGTAGTTGTTTATATTAACCTTATTCGTCGAGTCATGATTCATGTCACAAAGAATGATCAAAATCAATGGAAAACCTTTTGGTAGATTACAGTCTATTCTTTAAATCAACTGTTCGAAATTGGCTTAGATTTTTAGTTACATGAACAGTTTCACCATTTTGTTTTGATATCAACAAGGTTGTTTAAAACAATGACAATGGTCCCTTAGTTCCTGTGGAAGATGGGGATTGAAAAGTTAATGGCTAAGTGCTTCATCTTCATCACTTAATAGATCGATAAGATTATAAAGCATCTGCATGACTGGTGGATAACTTGGATAGGTTGAGTAGTGACCAGTGAACTGGTAGTAACTGGTCAATTCTGGGATTATATTTGTGGTTGGATTTTTGCATTAAATTTCAGTGCATTTTTTTGGGGAGTCCCTCTAGCTCTATAACACACTTGATACAATTTTATTCTTCAGTAACCACAATTAATTAACATTAATTAACAAAAGTTATATGATTATAAAGCAGAAAGTTATGATCAACAAAATGATCAATACCCTAACTTAAAATTTCATGGAGGCATGCCCTGTACCTCCCAGAAAGTTCCCACCTCTGGCATGAATGGTCTTGTACTTCTAGAGTTTCTCTTACACTCCACTTTAGCATTCTCGACCAGCGCATTTCACTTTCAGCTATGTAATGTATTAAGACTATTTCGTATTTTCAATTCAAGACAACAAAGTATACATTTATAGCATTACAAATATAAGATAAAAAACTATTTTTCAAGTTGGAGTTCAAATGTTGTTACTTTCCAGCAAAATAGTTAATACCACAATGGCACAATCCATTCCTGGTCAAAAACTTTGACACATTTATACACATTTTCAGTGTTGAGCATGACTTTCTCCACAACAACTATATTTCTCGCCCCTTAGCCCATACAATGTTGTCCTTAGTGCAACTGCCTTGCACGTAGTTACTCAACATTCTTTCACCTCGGGAAACGTCAAGTAAGACCAATAAAGCACAGCCAATGTGTTATAAAAGACTGATTAATATACGATCGATAACTGTGGAAATTTCATGTGGATCACAGCATTTCAAATTTATTTTAAATCACATACAAACGTTTAGACAAAAAACAAACTCTCACCTTGACACAGTACATTTTCATTGTATTGTTGTTTGTGATAAAAGATATTAATAATGGCGATGTACTAATATTAATAATTAGTATGTAATATTAATAATTAGTATGTAATAATGTACATTTGTACACATAAAATTCGATAAAATCACTGTAATAGAAGCAGCCATTTTGTTTTTAAATTTTAATTTTAGGCTAGCTGTTCGCAGGCACGTATTTAAGGCGGACACGACCTGAGTGTTTAACCCACAAACAACGCGATAGCAATGTATCTATGCTTCGCATAGATACAAAAACGATTGTTCGCATGGATACAAAAACGATTGGACGAACCCTCGATTTTAGCAATATTGTTTATTAGTCAATTTTACCAAAAAAATCGATTTCTAGATTTCAAACTTGCCTTCTCAGAAATTCAAAAAAATCCCGATATTGACTTTTTAAAATAAAAACAAAAAAAATCCCAGCTGCTTCCAAAATCCCAAGTCTCGGGATAAAATTTATCAATCGGGCATTCGCTATTTGTACAGCAGTCTTCTTCTCGAATCAGGTAATGAAATCCTTGTTTTATCCCCACATATCCCTACTTTATTTTATAACCCCAATCTGCTTGCAACCTGCTACTAGTCAAGTATCATTAATTTGTTTTATGGTGTTACTGTTACTCAAGTCAACTAAATGTACAGAGAATTATATTGGAGAGTTAAGATTTTGGAGAGTGGAGTTTTAGCCAACGCCCACTTTCGTCAGCAACCACACTCAATTTCATGATGAATCATGAAGTAGTATAATAGTGCTCTTAATATGCGAAGATTGAATTAATTTGAATATGCGAAAATAACCCATATTAATTTAAATGAATGTTAGTAAATGAATTCATTACACTGCTAGATGCCTATAAATACTGAGTTTGGCCATAGTACACGCTTCTTTCTTAGTTTTAAAACGGTCTGTACGGAGAACGGCCAACCCAGACTTCCCGCCCCTTCGTTTACGTGGGTCGAACTCCGCCGCACACCGTCTCAGCCATGCTGTTCCAGCCTGGCTAAGACTGGGCTGAGCAGCATTTACTCAAATCCTTATTCTAGCTGAGCAAAGAGTAGAGCACTATGAAATAGGATACTCTACAAAAAATTACGAGAAAGTATTTGTGTAGGGGTAAGTTAGCTCACTGGGTTACCGGAAGAACAACTCTTAACAATCGCCTATAACAACGAGAGTTAGAAATATGTTAACTCTCCCCCAATCTTTTTATGGTTTGATGGAAAAGAGTTCACATCAAACTAAACATTCTCGTGTTAGTTGAAAGGAAACATCAGGGGAGTTAAGAAACTGGGCGTGGTTGCTGAAAAGTGCGCGTGGCTCCCTTTTTAGTCATACCCAGCTGTTACACCGTCCTATTCTATCCTACATTTCAAATCTAAAAATTAACTTTGGTAATCTTTCACTTGTATACGCTATATAGCTAATTACTAAAAAAATTCTAACCGTTGGAAATAGCATTATCTTGTTTTTTTTTCAAATTTAAAATGCAGTCGTATAAAATAATGTACATGTTGCTTCTAATGTGATAAAATGTAACGCAATAATTTTATAATATAGTCTACCTTTTAGATAAGTGTGTTACTATTTAACAATTATTCACCCAAAGTAGAGTTGAATAGTGCAAAGAAATTCACCTCGACGTTTCAGCATGTACCATAATTAAAACCCCCCGAAAATGACCGAAAAAACAACCAAAATACTTTTAAAACAATTTGTGTTACAGCGCCAGTAATAGTTGTAAATTGCAGAACAGTGTTTACTATACCTGTGCAAACTTAGTACTAAGTTATTTTATTCAAAAAATAACTTCATTAAAGAATACTTTTATACACTGTTGAAAAAATAACTTTGTGGCTTCAGTCTTCGTGTTGGGCGGAACCGCAGCTTCGTTTAGTAAAACAACTGATTTGCTCGTCTGTAACTCAGTGGAACATAACGGGAAGACATTTGGTTTTGGCCCGGATGTGAATACAAGAATATCCGCAGTTGAGCAACCACCCAACTGCATATGCTAAATTAAAATAATTGAGCTTAATTCAGTTAATTAAATTAAACAAGTGAAAGAACTCTTTGGATAAAATCTTATTAGTTACACCACAGTATGTACTATTTACACAACGTTCTTGTATGCCAGTTGTTATATTATATACAGTATATATGTTCTTTTATTTCCGTAGGTGCGTTTGTGGGTTGTGCATGCATGTTGTGTGCAGAAATTTATCATCACTGACAGATATACTCCACGTCTCTGTTGCATTATTTATCTCGTTGCTTCATAATGCAGACAATAAATCGTCATAACTTCTGCCAATTCAACAGATCTCCATTCTGCCACATCCCTACAGCATTGTCATCATCAAACACAAAATCCATAGTTTCGGCAGGATGGTCAAATACATCGGTATTTAGTAAGTCTGCTTGTAGTTCATCCAAACTTTTTGAACTACTATCACTCGACCAACTTTCTTCTCTCGAATGGGATGATTCATCGAAGCTATCGTCCGCCTGTTCGCGATTGTCTACTTTCCTTCCACGATTGGTTTCCGTATTTTCCCGGTAGCCTACGGTTGCTGCCTGATTGTTCGCCTCTATTTCACGACGATCAGTTAGTCTTTCATTGCAATCTGATGTTAACGCATGGAAGTCTGCAAGACTGTGTTCAGGAGAACTAACCAAGGTTGGTGTACTACTAGAGGCCTTCACCTCCTGGTCGCAGCCTTCCGTCTCGTACGGTATAGATAAAAACTGATAAACACCTTTATGTCCTTTCACCTGGAAAATACACAATTTACAGTTATTGTTGTGCTGCACCTATCGTTTACAACATTAACGTCTGTGGTGCAATCATTATATACAGCGTTTGCACTCATTCCCCAGGGACCAACTGAACAAAGCCATGGTGGCCATGTTGGTGTTCCAGACAAAAGAGTCTAATTAAAATTATTTTGAATTGCAACATCAATATGGCGGCTGTGACGTTATGTGCAAACGCTCTATTGTAATGAGGCGAAGACCGGCGAGTGATGATATATTCGACACAATTAATACGGACGTGCATCTTCTAACTAATTCTAAAATGGATGAAATATGATGCAAACGTGCACCACGAGGGGTTGTAACAAACGAGCTGCAAATCAACTGTTGGCGCTCGTTTATAGTTTGCATATGAATTGATTCATTTGCATAGATCTTATTACAAAGGCTGAACATGTGACCCAATCTTGGATCACTGTAGTCCTTTTGATTGGTCAAAACCTGATTAATTATTTATGAACTTAACACTGAAGCATCATATATGTTATTGTTTTATTATGGGTTTTTTAAAGAGCAGAAGTATTTGGTTCATCTAAAAGGTTTTATCCTGGTAGCTCCTGTTACTTGTTTCAACAAGGCATAAAAATTTTGTAATTTTCAAAACAGCAAACTTAAAGCATGCATGCAGTAATACAACGTTAACTGACTGATGTGACTCGATCAATAGGCAATTCCAGCTTTTAATTTATGCGCGCAGGGGGTGACGGGAAGTAAGGTATCATATTGCTGATTATGCTGAAAAATTTCAATAAAAACTGCCGAAACAACCGAAATATTTCAATATTTACAAGTATAAGCTATCACTCTTTTATTTTTCCAGCATAATCAGCAATATTATACCTTACTTCCCATCCCCCCCCCCCTGCACGCATAAGGCTAAAAGCTGGAATTGCCTATTAGGATTAAGTTACACATGCAAAAATACCTAAAACTGGTGTTGTTTTGATTAAATAATTAGTCGGAGAAATAAAACATATAGAGAGTAAAGTAAATGGTTTGACAGAAATGTTATGCGATATAAATTAACGAACGTTGAAAAAGAGGAAGGCAAGTAAGGTAAGGTAAGGTAAGGTAAGGTAAGGTAAGGTGAGGTACTTTTGTTACAGAGTGAATATAAATTATAGTTTATTCAATCTTTTCTAGACCTATCTATTGGAAAGTATATACAGTTGTAAATATTTTTTTCTTCCAACCTTTCTGAGTACTTTCGTTTTGTAATAATATCTGAGAGCTCTGAGTAATTTTTTATCATTCATTGTTGGTCGGTTTTTAACCGTGCCCCACAATGTTGCAATTTCATGTGCATTGTTGATACGGAATTCTTTGCTCTCCTTGTTTGTCCATGTGATCAGCGAACAGCATTCTGGGTCCTGGAGTAAACCAAATAAGAACTCCCAGAGGTATACTGTATATTGTCCGCTTTGCCATGGCTTTCTCACTTTCGCTAAAAGAAAGGAAAATAAATTATATAATTGGATACATGGCTTTTTTATCTTCTCAGTTGTAATTCTCACACAAAATTTCTTATATTTGTTTTCAGATATAATATAACTGGCAGACCAGAAAAGTGGAATATCGAGATCCTGGATGCTAAAGAAAATTTTCTTTAGCAAGAAGATTGAGGAACATTTAAAATTTCATTGTTATCATACTTCCTTATTTGTCATTTGAGATGGTAAAATGTTGTACAATGTTCAAATTTGATGTAATGTACTGTCAATTTATGAAAAATGTGCTGTCAAATTTCCTATTGTTTTTAAGCATATCTGACAAACATAATTTGAAAAAAAAAACAAATTCAGGATGCGAGGAATATTAAACATTTTTTCCAGTTCTGGTGAAGGTTATAATTATAAGATTATAAATTAATAAACGTCATTTATATAATACGTTTTTACAGAGGAGTCTATATTTTTATACGTGAAATGAGCTTGTGGAATACATCTTCGTATATGCATGCGTCTAGCTAGTTCTCAGCTCAATGCCACAAAGGGAAGTTTGCATAATTCTTATCCTATATATAACAATTATGCCATCTATAATCACGATCCAGTGATGATAATGTTTCATGCATTAATTGTTTTGCAAATCTTAATTTCATATATGCCAAAAATTAGAGTCAAAATTGCACAATATTGATCTGATATATCAAAAATACAATACAAATGGAATAGCTTTTATTCACAAAATAAATGGAATGCAATTACTTAATAAATATAATAAAATGTTGATTAAGTGAATTCTAAGGATGGTTTTATATAAATATTAATTATAAGTATCAGATTTAAGCATTTATTTAACAATGTTCATTTTAGTACTTTTCTATCGAATTCGTCGTGGTTGTTGCTACGATATTTTAGGTAAACAAATTAAACAATAAACATATTGTCAACTTTCACTTAAAATGTTCTTCCAGTTTTTCATCCAGTTTTATACACTGCAATAAGACAATAGGTAAATGTACCATTATTAAGAACTTTAATGTTTTGTCAAATATTTCAACAATATTTAGTAGTGTGAATTGATTAAGATTAAAATGACAGTAAACAAAGTATTTAAAGCAAAGTTTAACTTAGTTTACACATTCACCAAATGATTCCAGCCAGTTGTAGGTGGGGTCTTAGTTTGAAATATATTCCTTGCATGTATAATGAATGCTCGTCATCTCTCTCTACATGTATATATATATGGCTTCAATTATAATACAACTATCGATGTGAATGAATGAATCAAGAAAGATATATTCTCCCACAAATATATAACTTGTTCTTAATCTACTACAAATATGTTAAACCCAAAAATTCATTTCTATTCCATATATATTTATGTATAAGATGAATTAGTAAAATATTGTTCCATTGTACATGCATCAAGTAAATAAGACGTATGATATAATTTCTCTGAAGCAATTTACTTTCAAAATGGAGAATACTATAGGTGATCACATGCACAGCCTATAATCAAGAACCCTATATGGAGTATAGACTAAGTATTTCACGTTTCACATAAAATGTTTCTGTAAATCCCTTTCAAATCTCATGCATACATCATTATTGTAATATTTCTCCAATAGAGAAATATTGTAATATTTCTCCAATATTACAATATTAAAAACATTCCATAACATATACAAATATACATGGCCCTTCCCAAATATTAATAACACATTTTAGAATCCATATATATGTATAGTTGGTCTATATTTAGGAATCCTATAAGTATTTAGAAATCCACATGTATATAAGATTTTGACTTACTGTTTGCCATTCTCTTCACCAAAAACTGTCTGGTAAATCCCTAGATGTTTATTCTCATAAACAAGCAGTCAATTTCTGCAGGCTTTGTGCCAAGTGCAAGCTTATCCCTTATAAAATATGATCCCATGGCATGACGTGCGTGTCTACCGGCGGTTTTGTACAACTGTATAAAGATTCTCAGTCTCTCATGTCGTATATTCGTAATTTCAATGACGTCTTAAGGCAATTATATCTCACCCATGCATGCACTGCCCACGGGTATGTGGGCGAATTGTAAAAGATGTATACCTGTAGTCAAGACTACACATTAAAGATTTCAATGTTTTCACACGAGGGAATGACATTGCCCTTTTTCATCTGCATCGTGTAATAGTAATATCAGAAAAGCCTGTAGAAGAACTGTAGTTTTGATATCAAACGAACACAGACATATATTATAGGTCACTTTATGTCAATATCAGTGAAGTATGTCGATTAATTTGAATATGTCAACAAGTGCATGTAAGTGGAATAGCAGGATAGGTTTTGGCCTTGTATTGACGTATTTCCATGATTTCAATCGGAAGCAGAATTGTATTATATAGATCTATATTGTGCCGATCGAGTTGCATGACTAAACCGAATATTTACTCTATTTATAGTAAACCATATTATTTTGTATAGTTTAATTAAACTTAATAGCATCAGCGAGACATTACAATAGACTGCCAATGGATAATACACGAAAGTCCTTCATTTGACTGCAGAACAGTACTGGTTTGTTTATAGTATCATATATGAATTTTCTCTAGCATGAACGATGATACGAATAGACAAAATCTATTGGATTTGTTTATACCCAATTCACAACCACATTTAATATAAACTCACATGCAAATACATAGTTATTATTTTTCTAATGCAAATTAGGTATATCTATAGGCATACTAAGCCTGGTTTCCATACGGTCGTAACGGTCGTAAAGAATAAAGATTGAGTCACGATCTTTCTCATCAGTCGAATTAGTTAGAACTGAAAATAGGAGGAGTGATTATATATAATTATAGACTTATGACTTATATGTGGTAAGGTTTACAGGTATAAACTATTATAAACTGGCCGTTGAGAAAGATCGTGAATCTATTCAATACAACCATTACGACCAGATATGGAAACCATGCAGGCTTTTTTCTATAGTAAGTTACTATAGAATTATCTTAGACAACTTATATATAAATATATAACATAATTGTAATGCTTATATAGACACCTTTGTTCTATTCTATGATCTGAAAAGCTAGAAACATAATATATAATTAGGATTGTGGGTTATTCAAAGTTGTGAAATGGATGGCGACGATTTGATTTTTTAAACCAAAACATGCTAAATGCACCAAATTATAGTTTTAAATTTGTTTGTAATCCTCAGGCAAACACAATATAATTTATTCTAATTGTGAAGGGAGGAGAACTCTTATATATATAAGTACCTTTATTGACGTTTCATAAATGTCGTGCCCTTCCGCGTATATGCATGTCTTCCCAAGTACTTAACAAAATTGTTTTCTATCTCGCAATTTTAAAAACTGAACATAGAAACTGAACACAGAAACGTTAATATACAGTGTGTATCAAAATAATTCGAATCCAAATTTGGCGTGTAATAACGCAGAATATATTTGACAAATTCGGTTGGTTTTAACACCATTGTTAAGTTCATTTATTTATCTTTCAAATGACATGCTGTACGCGTCATTTAGTTGGAAAATGAAGGAGTATTGCTTTGACAAAAAAAGTCCATAAAAATCACAATTTTCCGCCGATGGGAATTGGACATTTTTTCTTTCAAAGTTAGTCCCACAAGGCTTTGAAATGCTAATCATCACTGAAAACTAAAATGCAAATTTAACGCGAATTTCTTCTCGTTCAACATGTTGAAAGCATAGGAGCTTAAATCTCTTTAAATGAACATGAATTTATGTAAATTTTGCTACATAACAGTTTGTTGATTAATTAAATTTGCATTATCTTTTGTTTGTACGTCTCACTTCGAATTCCCATCGGCGGAAAAATTTGATTTCGAGCAACCAGTTTTAACACACGATTTCTTGGTCATTTTTGATCTTATTGATATAAGAACGATATAATCGGAAACCTAATAGGCTATTCTTTATTGCCATATAAAAATTATATGGTTTACTTTAGTATTTTATAAACAGCAGTCTGTCAAGTTTGGATTCGAATTATTTTGATACACACTGTAGTGTAAACCTGCGTCAAAATTGTTTCATAATAATTAAACTGTAATTATATATTATCAATAATGGAAATGATATTGAAAGAGAAAAATACTTAAACCTTCACACTAAGATTCATTTGAAAACCTATTGTACAAATAGTACAAAATCTATAGTGTACATACAACTTTTTTAAAAAGTCTGAATGTTTGGTTGGTAATTTTTTATATCCAAATCAATTATATATCGTGCAGCTAATTTACGTATTTTTTCCATGATCTTTTAATTAAAGAGTGTATTCTATTTATTAATTTCAGTTGCGTAACCCAGAGATGCTTAATTTAAAACACAAAGACATCAGAGAAAAATTAAATAAAAGAAACTTGTCAAAAGTAGTGCATCAAGACATAGGTATAACTTTATATATAGATTAATTGAAACTATTTCATATAAGGGACCGGTCATAAAGTAGGTGGGCTGGAGTGATTTGGGATGGGCCATGGAGTCTTTGGGCAGTTTCCAATCGATGGGCCGCCAATCTTTTTGTATGTCCACGGTTGAGCCACCAAACAAAAACCCATGCATGTCTACTTCAAAAATAAAGATAGTAATAATAATAAACAAAACTATCCAAATTATCAAATACAAATGATGCTATATTGAAGCCAGTACTTTGCTTATACAACAACAAGAAGTGGTCGAATCACAGCAAATACAACCAACTGGAGAGCAGCTCAGTATCAATGTGTTGGTCAAGCTTGGTGGAATTATGTATGTCAATACAGTGCCGTGTATATTTTACAATTTTCATACCTGCAAGTTTTTTTATTATAAAAGTGTATTTTCCCAATTTAGATTGGGTGGGTCATGAAAATTTTTTTGTAAGATTAGATGGGCTTTGAAATTTTATCTACATCCTAAGATGGGTCACCGAACTTATTGGCAAATTAAATTTGTGATCAGTTACCTCCAGCCCACCTTAGCAGTTACTTTATGTCCAGTCCCTAAAGTACGTGGTAAGGAAGTATTGACCGTAAGATTGACCTATAGTTTGCATCACTCAGCATCAGTGCATGCATGATGATATAGCTTGTTGCCATAGGCATGGTTATAACCTGTTGTAATCATGGTTAATTAATATAGCCTGTGCATGGCAATTAGGCTTAAACTCGCGTATATATCATGACATTAACATACACAAAACTATATACATGCATGGTTATAGCCTGTTGTAGCCTGAAAGAATATTTACTGATATAAAAAGGGATTGAAGTTTGAACCACGAATAAAAATAGCAAATGCATGGATGCATGGTATAAAAATATAAACAGGAAAGAAAATCAGTTTAGAAGTTAGAACACCGTCAGTTACAACATAGTATACACAAAAACCATGAAATGCATACAAATTACTATAAATTTTGTTTTAGGTTAAAGATATATAAGATAAGAATAGCATACTTTTCCTACTTAACATTGTAGAGATTTACAAAATGATAGCATGCACTTTGGTTGGAGACCACTGATATACATGGTATATTCATGTTTCCTTTATTGGTCATACATTATTCGATCATTCACTATGTATATGTTTTCAATTCTATTTTTGCAATTTTGAAAACCTTTAGGCAATTACTTAGCTGATATAGAAATATTTGATAGCTATAGTTACAGTTATACATATATAGCTATAGTTACTTCGTGTATAGCTCGAGTTAAAATCATATATCATCAATGGTATATAACTTCAAACAATTACTAATAGGTTTCCTTCTTTCAGTGGGATTAGAGTGTGGAGTGTTTTTCATAGGTTTTTCTAATGATCTTTTAAGCTATATAAGATTGACTGAATTTAGACAACCAGTCAAATAAATTCAAAACCTCACTCAAGAAAAAAGTTACTTTCAAGCATTTAATACGAAAAAGGCGTAGTAAATTTTAAAATAAGAACAAAAGATCGAAATTTGAATCTTTTAGGCTAGGTATTCTCTGAAATACCTATAGAAATATTTTTCAACTGAATAATATCTATATATATTATGTTTACAGTTATTTCAGTGCAGTTTGAATATTGCTATATAGGATTGTGTTTTCAATTCTATAATTTAGGTGGATCAAGCAATTATTACAACTCGTATCTGCAATGCACGAAACTATAATCTTGAAGTTTTTTGTACAATCTACCCGAGATGACATAATTATTGTGTTTAACTTACGTCCTATTATATAAGCTAATGGGGAAAATACTTCTAAAAATTAAATTAGTTCCCAAAAAAACAATCACATAGTTTATATATATATATATATATATATATATATATATATATATATATATATATATATATATATATATATATATATATATATATATATATATATATATATTTGATAATTATCAACTAAAATTATTTGGGTAAATTTCAAAATGACTTATCGCTATACTATATTTAATATATTTAATTTAAAGTATACAACATCAATTAATACATGGCATGCAGTGCATGAAAGTTTATAAAAATTATATTGACTTACTTGGTGCCTGCTGCTGTTTCTGTGATTTTCCTTCGGCCATTGTCTTCACTTATATCTAACTCAAAATAGTGCTATGTTTAACCACACTTCTTGACCGCGGATTTTATAATAATGGCGGCGTAACCGAATTTTAATGTATTCAAGTGTTCCATGTCTGTTGACGTAGATTGAAGCTTGGATTTCCGCTAGGCATGTGGGAAAATCGGAAGATATAATCCAGCTCTGAGTCAGTGTACACCAAAGGTAAAGTTGAACAATATTTAAAGTTCTTTTAGTTATAAATAATTCTCACAATGACGAAGTGTTCCACTTGTATTTCTGAAGCATCGTCTGGAGTGTTAACATGACACCATGCATGCATTCGAATAGTAACATCACTATTTCAAAATATTATTTTAGATTTCTGAGTGCAGTCTTGGATCGATTTATCTAGTCTTAAACCAAATATATTTTCTGCAGGTTTGCGACGTTTCGAGGATATATGAAACATGAATCATGTTGCTGTTAATATCTTATAATATATAGACTAGTTCTGCATAAGAAATGCCTGATTTAAGCCTATAGGTAAATCCAAGACTATCAGTTATACTGAACCCATATAGAAAGACTCCATATCGCATAAAATTAGATTTCTCAATTGAAATTTCTCTATGTAGGTATACATTCGGGATAAATACCAAGGGTGGGTAGTAGCGAAGTAGTTGTAGTTCGCTACTGTAGCGAACTACAATTTTCAAGTAGCCAGTAGTTTTTGACTACTTTTTTAAAACAGTAGTTGTAGTTATAGCGAACTACATTTTGTCTACAAGTAGCCAAATAGTTGACTACTTTTCAAACAGCGAATCGCTATTCGCTACTTTTTAAAATTGTTAGCAACCGTTCATAGAATAGAATGATATTAAGACACGGTTTGCTTAAAAAATTATTTTATACAGTAAAGATTATTTTAGCGCAATGAAAAGTGTTAAAGTGGCACACCTGAACACTGCGGTGCTTACAAAAATGTTGCTTTGACCCTTTTTGTTTACTGTTGCTACTCGTAAGTCGATTTGTTATAGGTTATATTACAGCCTGAGCTAGTGGATGCTCCAAATACCGTAAAACTAAAAAATATAAAGTAGCGAAATAGCGAAATAGTTCGCTATATTTTTTAAGCAGTAGCTGTAGTCAGTAGCGAACTACTTTTGTTCAAAAGTAGCAGTAGTTGTCCTGACTACATATTTTTGAAGTAGCTGTAGTTATAGCGAACTACAAAAATTTTGTATTCAACCCACCCTTGATAAATACGCAAAATGTTCAATTAGTTTTGAAAATTTGAATTGCCAGAATGACAAAAGCTTTAAAAACGAACTCTATATTATACATCGATCAAAAATTGCTGCTTTTTAATTAATCGATTTTTCTACGAAATACACGAATATATAAGCTGTATAAACTTTTTGACTCCATGTTAACTGAACTTCGTAATCATGCATAGCATGCATGCATATGTGATCTAAAACTGACATGTCAACTCTAGGTATATTGTTTAATATTTTCAGTTGCCTGGTCGAGTAATTTTAAATGGTAAATTTACGTGTAAGCACCGATTTGATAGTAGTTCGATTTAGCGTAATCAATTTACGCTTGATCTACAGACTGAATTCAATATCACATTATCTATAATTATACTGCGCGCGAGATGCATGCATCCATGATAAATATAATTCAAGTCGAGTACCATGTTTTGTATGCAGATATTATTAATATCGGAATGGGAATTAAAAGTGGAGTAAAAGAACATAATTACTTTTGAACTGGTAAGGTACTTATACTTATATGATCAACCGGGAACGCCTCCGATATAAGCCAATTATTTTTAAGGCGTTTCATTTGTATATATGCGTTGGTGTAGCTGATTTCAAAATTAGAACTGACTAGATCACCGCGAATCCTGAAAGGGGTTTTACTGAAGTCTGGACAGTCTCAGTCTTGTATTTGATTTTTGAATTTGAGAATTTGCCTAATTTTTTATGTTGTACAGTACATTTTTATTGCATTTTGTAATATTATACACTTAGAATAAAATACTGAAGTCAACATATCATTTAAATATTTGAGGCGAAAGTTATAATACTGATAATGCACCCACAGTGACTCAAAATTTTGAGTACAATTAGGCCTACTCAAATTTCAGATAAGCAAATTTACCCACTTTTTTGCGTAAAGATTTTAACTTTCAGTAATTTTACTCAATATTTTGAGTACATGGGTGTATTACTTAATTCAAGTTTTTTAGTCGAAATTTTATGCAGTGTAGTTGTTACCTAACATAATTCTATCCTATAAAAAAATATTTTTCCAATTTGTTGTTTCGCCCTGAGAACTGGCGGCGGGGTAAAACTTTTCTGACGGTGCATAATTATTGTTAACGTGCCAATTGCGCTACGATAGGAACAACAACACTACCATGTATTTGTTGTAACCATAGATGTCTTATGTACACTAGATAGTGCATGCATTTAATTATTCTGCAATTCAAAAATTGAAGCCGTGATTGCAGTCTCAGGTCGTTCCCATGAAATGAGAAGATTCGTATGTTCCCTATTTCTTAAACAGGGAACATAAAAATTAAGTTAACCCTATTTCAAATACGTTTTTAAACTATTCAAACGATGAAAGTTATTGTTGTTTTTAAGCGTTTATTAGCAAGAGGGAACGACCAACATGGCCGCCATCTATTCAAATGGGCGTAACCGCTGGAATATTCTTGGCTTCAATTTTACTAAAAGAGATGCTCTATCTAGTGTATATAAGATATCTATGGTTGTAACTCACAACTGCGCGCAACTAACATGCCCACGGTTGCCATTGTTTCTCAGTGAACAGTAGATTATCTGAGGACGTGTTTAATATTGCCCTACATGCATCAAGGCCAGGCTCTTCTAGGGCTATAGGCGAGATCTCGAATGCTAATTAAAATGCCTATCTAACTGTTTTTATAATAGTTTTGTTTGTGGAAACACTGTTTTTGTTTCATATTTGATGAGGGCTAGCTCCCCTTCTGTTGGAGGACCATTTAGAACTGCCCATTCAACTAGAACAGACTGTGCCGTGGTAGTGAACACAGGCTGTGTGGTACTAACGAGAGACGAGAACTTGAATAAGCCGTAGGAGGGTCCTGGGGCATGCTCGGATGCTCCCCCGAAAATGTTTGAATTTTTGAAGTGCTTAATTCATAATTTATTTTCATACAAAGCTTGAAAACTCAATCCTAATTAGACTGCTCATTTTAAGTTTTAGAACTATCATATGTAAATTAAACTACTCATTTTCAGTGGAAAATTGGAGGCCTTAATTAGGATGTCCCCAGGGCCCTATCTCCTGCATGGTGGGGCAGAGTAAAAAACTCGTCGTATATATGTGTGTCAAACTCCGCTTTTGGAAGTACTAGTCTTTTTCGAGTTAAATATTTAATTATAGAACAATATCAATTTTCTGCTGGTTATTATTTGAAAACTTGCTCGGAAAAATGCAATTTTGGACATCGTAAGAAAATAATTTTTGTTGTTAGCAAGCTGTTTATTGCCATTTCAGGAAGAAAGCTGAAATAAATTAACACTACTCTGTAATTCAAAATGGTGCCGTAATTTTTACTGTAAATAAATATTCATTTGCGCAGAAAAACTTCATCGGATCACTTTAAATTCTATTTATCACAATTGGTATATAGAGTACGTATGTTTTCTGCCAAATGCAATGTCTATCTAAAGCTAGATAATTCTATATAAAATACGGTGAATCTATCAACTGCATGGAATGGTAACAGGCATTTGTTTGTGGAGCGACCTGGCGACTATATGTATAAAAAATTTGGAAACTATATGAGTTCAAGAATTAAGGTGTATTTTTGGCGCTATATAGATTATAACGGCCTATGCGATCAGTTTACCGTTCAATTTTCCGGTGAAAACATGAGTGGACCACACCTTTACATTACCGTCGTCAAACAAAAATTACATTATACATTCATGCTATAATTACAGTAATAACGAACTATCTGTCCGTTTAACAAAAAAATGCCTCGATGCGAGTTATTCTAGTTTAACTGCACACGTTTTCACTGAGTACACCCACCACCTCGAACCTCTTGGTTCGCAATTGACGTCATGGCGGCCATGTTGGAGGAAAACTAACAAAAGAATCTCATTAACGGCTATTGTATTTGGAGGGTTTTTCCTTCCAACACATGGCAGCCATATCGTTGTCTTGTAAATCTCAAGGGATTGATTGAAAACCATCATGATCAATAGTCACAAAAATTCTTTAATTCTTGAAATTGTATCGCCTAACAAACTCGTCTCCATTTGTTCATAATACTCGATAGATCGAAATGGCACGTGATACGCCGAAGTAAACGCTTACCCGGCGCCTTGTTCACATGTGAAAATTATCGTCTCGGCGTTTTTTTCTCACACATGGTGGATTATGATATCAGCGTTTTCATTGGCTGATTATAGTTTCGCGCTCATAACCGAGTTTTTGCTTTATTTGCGGAATATTTCGCTAATAAAGCTATACGACTATATATTATCACAAAGAAAATACTCAGGGCTAAAGATATTCAGATAAACCTCTTTCAAGTGGTTGGAATTCCAGAAAGAAAATGATCGAAGACTAATGAGAATGAGAAATCTATTTTCGAGACCGTACAGTAGAT